GCCTCCCTGCTTTGTGACCCTGGCTCGATTCCTGATCTCAGCTAAGAAATCAAGATGAGTCATATGGAAGCATCTGTCAGGCCTAAAAATTTTTGTTTAAAATGAATTGATATGAAAGGCAGATACGAATTTTATTTCAGCAGAAATGGCTGTGCTGCCATAGAGCTTCCCACACTCCAGTAGGAAATGCTTTACAGCTTACTGAACTTGTTAGGTTGTTCTCTGTTCCAGCTGATAATTTGTCTGAAAATAGCAGAGCTTGATCAGTTTAGAAGGAAGGCAATATATGCGGGATTCAGATTTTACATGCCAAAAATCCAGGAGAGAATCATGCTTTGATTTTGTGTGAATGTGTAATACAGATTCTGGAATAGTCTAACCGTCCAGTGTAACATAAGGAGCCAAATTGTAGGAAAATGGCACTGGGAACTGTTTCTTTTTTATTTTCCTTCTTTTTTTTTTTTTTTCTTTTTTTTTTTTTTTTTTTTTTTTAAATCTGCCCAAGTTACAGACTTTCTGTCCTTTGAGAGTCCTGTCTGCAGTCCTGGTACTTCTGCCCTCATTTTTTCAGAAGCACTGGGCAGTCACAGGTCTCAACAAACCTGCCATCTGTTACATTGCTCTTCAGACCTACTAATGAATTTTCTTATTTTTTTTTTCTTTGTTTTCCCAAAGCAACTTGGATGAGTCTGCTTTAATTTGACTGCCCTGTTGAGTGAATAGCATTAGACGTGAGCACCAAAACAAAAATTATGCAAAATATAGAGGGTATGGATACATTCTCTCTTCAGCGCCCAAAAAAGAATTTTCCTATGTAATTTCATTTCTGCAACTGTGTTAATGATTTTTATTAACTTAATAGAGCAACTGCTAGTTTTTCTGACTGTGAATTAATAAGGCTTGTCATCACAAAGCTTGCCAAGCTTCATCAAGACCAGCTTTCCATTTTTATTAACTCTCCAATTACCTTACTTGCAGCACCTAAATTTGGAGAACTGGGTGTTCAAACCCCAACAGTTTTGAGTTTAAAAGATTAAAACACTTGCAGTTTCATTCTGAAATATGCTCAGATTTTGCTGCAACTGGCATGAACTCCTGTTTACTGCAACACAGGGCTGCTCCTTATCTTTGGTGTGTGACTGCTTCCAGTGATCTGACTGTGGCCAATCTTGACTTGCTCTCGCTGATGCCAGGGAAGGGCTTTGGATCTTGGGACAGCTGCATTCTGCCTTCCTAAGGAGAGCTGCCCCTGAAATGTGAAGAAAGGAATGAGAAGCAGGATCATTGCTCCAGGCACTGCTCATAGACTCATCTTCAGGGAGGCTGCGCAGAAGCAGTTTCAGCTGAAGCACATTGTGGCATAATGGGTGTAAAACTAGTTATTTTGTAAGCAGTTTTTGTGGAAAGCTGCTTTTTCTGCTGTTTTTCTCTTTTTCAGGTTTCTCTACGGGTAGTCTAGAAATCAAGCCATAATCTCTCTTGGGTCCTTTGGAAGGAACTGCTGCTCTCTGTTTAAAATACAGCAGGCTGGTTTCTCTCACTGCCTTCCAAAGCCACTGGGAGTCATTACCTGTTGGCAGCTTTGCAGATACAGAAATGCAGGGTTAGACTGTCGTGTGCAAGAGCCTATTGAACAGTATCTTCTGCTATCCGAATACATGTATGTGACCCCTGTCCTGACCTGTGAAAGGGACAAATCCATTCAGCTGTGAGTAAAAACTTAATGGTGATCCCATCCCCGAGCGGGGATTCCAGAGGGTTTTTGGCAGTGACTGGCCATGTTCAGAGTCATTTCTACCAGTGCAGAAGAATGGGCTCTGCAAGCCAGTGTTCCCAACCTCACCCTGAGAAACGCTCCCAGGGCAGCAATTGCCCTGCCCTGAGGCTGCTGCCTTGTTGAGGTTTGGGATCTAAGGGTGCAGAGTCTGTCCTTTATCCCGAGCCCCTTCAGAAGTTGCAGTCGGTACCTATGGCTTGTATTAGTAGCACTCAGTCTCTTACACTGTGCTCTTGTTTTGTTTCAGCATATTGATTTCTCCACAAATACCTCCTTTCATCTTTCCAGACATAAAAATTATTTTAGCTTTTAATCATTCACCTACAGGTAATGTTGGTCTTCAGCTGGATAAAAGCTGTTTCTTTTATACAAACGAGATGGTTTCTTCTTTACAAGCTATTTTAAACTGCCCCTACACAGGAGGCTGTGGCTCTCTTATGCATCTACGCTAATACTCTGGTTGAGGATTCATTACTGACTAGACAGTTCAGTCCCTCAGTGCATATTGTAATTCCATGGTACTGAATTTCTGAGGTTTCCCTTGTTCCAACTGCCTGCAGCTTCATTGAAGCTTTTTCTGCTTGTTTATTTTCTTGTAATAGGATAAATTGAATCTGGAGGAGAAGGAAAAACTGATGTTGACTGTGTGACTCTTCCTGCTCTCAGCAAAAAATAGTGAGAATTTTTTCATTTGGAAAGTCATTTTATTTTGAACTCCTCCTGAAGCAGTGCTTCTAATAACTCAGATGTGTGTCACTGAGGAATGAAAGATGTGTGCGACCTGGCTTTATTCTTTGAAGCACATTTAAAGCTTGTGGAAAGTCCTGGGCTCCCACTTCAGAGACTTAAAGCTTTTTTACCTACGGCACAGGTTTAGGTTAGCCAATTACATGAGAAGCATTTCCTCCAAATTTAACAGATGCTTATTCCCGTATAAATACATGGAAAATTAATAGAAAGTTTTAGTTTCATCTGCTTGATGTGGTAAAATATTGTTAAATACCCATGGCACTTAGTTCAGCTATCATGACAGATATGATAAAGTCACATGAAGCTCCAGGCTGCATTTTTAAAGTTTATTTTAGCACCTTTCCTTTTACATCTAATATCATGGTCTAATGATACACTCCACATAATGCCATGGTTGACTCGAGTAAAGTCCTCTGGATATCAAAGAAGCATCTGTGCAGTTCACAGCAGGAAAGTATGAGATAGAGTTATGAAGAAATCCAGGGGGAATAATGAGACAAAAATGCATGTGCAACCACTAGGGCTGCAAAACCCCAGACCTGCATAATTTGGAGATCTAATCAGTGAGATAATTTGCATGTGTGGTTACTTGTTCATCCACATAAATACTGTGAACTATTTGGCTGTTAAAAATAGTTTATTAAATATATGTAAAGCACCAAGGATAGGTAAGGTAAATCATGAACTGTGGGAATGCTAAAAGTTATCATTTATTGTAATATAGCTTATGTATCTGTGAATGCTTTAAAAAGAGTCAAGCGATCAGCATAATCCCCAAGAAAGCTTTCTCCTCTAATGAGATCAGTGGATGACTCCATACGGTATGTGTTAAGAATTTTAATGGATTAATGAATATGCTTAGTAAAAATAAATAATTAAATGTCAGGAGTTATTAGGAACTGACAGGTTAGAGACATGGGGAAAGCAGACAGCCCTCCCTGCCGGCGCACCAGGATGAAGGCAGGAAACGTCTCCTGCTGCCCTTGTTCTCTGGAGAAGAGCAGCAGAGCAAACCCATCCTGACAGAGAGCCCGCTGGCACCTGGAAGGGGCTGGATATGAATCGTCCCACAGCTGGGCTGAGCTCTCCGTGTACTTTGCTTACCTGTCTAACAGTGAAGACACAAATCAGCTTTTGCTCACACAAGACTGATAGGCAGCTACATCCTGTGTCTATTCTAGAAAATGATGCTGTGGAACAAAAATGATGGTTCTGAAATGGAGGGAGGGAGGAGATACCAGGCAATCTCCACCCACTGCACTCCCACCCCGGCTATGACGGAGGGCCTTTATAAAAAATCAAATAATCTCTCTTGCTCCTGGCTTGAATGGGGCTAAGGCTGCTGAAAGTTTATAGATTTAGATCTACGAGAGTTGAGCTTGCCGTTTATCTGGCAATGGTTGACTGAGGGGAAACGGACCAGTTGTTCTTGCTGGCAGATTGAATTTATTCAGCTAAATCCAAAAAATAGAAACTCAGATCTATTTACTGATTCCTGGCAGGATTTATCTGTTGCATAAGCCTATCTTTGGGGAATACTGGTACTACTGTTTTTTTTTTTTTTTTTTTCCCAAAGAAGATGATATTTTTACCATGTTTTGTGAATCTTGGTATTGTGAAACATCTTTTTTATCACTGTCGTAACATCAGCTGCTAATTCTCTAGAAGAATTCGATAAAGATACGACATTTTCCATATGACAAGGAAACTTACTTTTCATATGAATTCTTTTAAAGTGAATTCTATTTCAGTTGAAGATTCTGGATCTGACAGTAAAGACGTATTTTCTTTCTTCTTGACGATGTCTTGAATTACTGTGGATTTTTGCACTTAAATAAAAGAGTCTTTTATTGTCCTTCCGGACCTTCATGGGTGCTCTGCCTGAAGCTGATAAGAAGTCTGACTTCCACAGTTCTTGTTCTCCCCAAGGTTGTTAAAATCTAGCATTTTTATGCTATAGATACCTGTCTGTTAGCAGTGCTCACTGTAAATAAAATAAATTCATTTTAGAGTAAGAATGGGGAAAAGAGAGTTCTAAACTAATGACGATTTCTGTTTGCTGCTGACCTGAACTGAACCCATCATGACCACGTTCCTGCATCTTCAGGCAGGACAGCCCACAGCTTCCAAGTACAGGTGAAAACCTTCTTCTGCCTGAGTGTTTTCCTCAGGAGTGGAAAAAACAGGCAGTAAAACTAGAAAGAAATCTAGATCCTGATCCCAAATTTAAAATCTGTTGACATTTAAAGCATTTGGTGACCCGGAATTTGACTTGTAAGTACTTTTAATTAGGACACATGTTTTTGGTGAGGACCCAAGCATGGGTTATTACATCTTATTCAACTGATTCCAGATCTCTCTGCTTCTCTGTTTAGTGTCCAGTTGCTGTGAAGTCTGTTCTTTTCATATGAATCTTTTTTCTTTCCTTTTTTTTTTTTTATTTTTAAGTTATCTGCAGATTTAATTATTTGGAAAGAAAATGAAGAGCACGGCCAGGCCCTGGAGTGCAACGGCAAAGCCAGGGAGTCACGCCACGGACCGTACAAAATCGCTCTCCACCACCTCGACAGGAATGAAGACCTCCAAGTCCTCAACCTCCCTTGCCTTCGAGTCTCGGCTCAGCAAGGTACTAGCCAGGGAGAGCCCGGAACTAGCCTAGTTCTGGGCTGAAGCTTGGGGTTGGTCCTGGAACATCCCAGCATTTTGAGGTTTCCATTGGGCTCAGGCACTTAGTTAAGCACAGGGAGGCAGTTTTGTAGTGCTCTGTATATTGGATTTAGGTGCATTTCTGAAAATATCCTCTACAGAGTAGAGGAGACACTGTATCTTTACAAGGCATGAGTGGGTTCTGTTTCAGCCTCTGTGCCAAGGAATTGCTTTAACACTGAAGACTGAGAAAAATAATATTCTTAGCTCAATTGATAGAAATGCGTATAAAGAAATTCAAAGAGATTTATTAATGGTCATATAGAATTCCTAAAATCTGTTAAAATCTTTCCATTAAGGCAAAATATATTAACAAAAACTATTCCATGCAAAGGAACACAAGCATTTTATAAAGCCTGTTTTTTCATGTAGACATCTTCTAAAAATTAACAAAAGCTTCTGCCAAAGTAGCGTTTTTAAGAGAACAGAGTAATGCACTTGAAATGCTGTTGCATCTGTATGCTCATAGCCACCAAACAAAAATAATCTCATGGCCCAAATACAGACGAAGATAACAGTGGTGAAAAGGGAGTATAGGCTTCCTGTTTATAACTGTTTTCAGTAGCACTGCTTGGTAAGCAATACGTAACAATGTAATGAATCTTTAATAATAATAATCTTTAATCCTCAGAGTTTCTCAAGAAGAGGAGTGATCTACTTCACTTGCTTTGCAGGCTCCTGGATGCCCCAAGCATGTTATCAATGGGGTATTTCAGCCTAGGCCTGCAGGCAAGTTACGGCTGTCATAAATATTTGCTCTGTGAGTGAGGCAAGCATCTTGAGAGGGAATGCTGCTGAGGTGACTAGTGCAGGAAGGCTAGGGAAGCTGATAGGGTTGATTCATGTACGGTGTTAAATGTAGAGGGTTATCTTCCTAACCACAGCTAACATCTTCATGTTCTTGTTCATCTAATGCAGGATCATCAAAGTAGTCTTCCTCGAAGAAACAGTTAGGAAGAGGTAGCTGTGAGAGAGAACTTACTGAAAAGCCACTTTAGAGAGACTGCAGAGCGCCTTTTCTAAAGGTCAGAAAGTCAGATTGTTCTGTTTGGCTCCTACAAGTGAGCTGGCAAAGGCTCTGCCAGAAGGCAAAACCGTTAGATGTCTGGTTTCCTGGAGCAGATCAGCACTTTGGCTATTGAAACTTATGTGCTCACAAGGTCCAGGAAACCACAGGCTGAGTCAGAGGAAGAGACGAAAGAGGGAAAGAATTGGAGTTGAGAGAGAGATTTCATTTTGCTTAAAGATTTTTGCATTCAAGAACCACTAAACAGGGAGTTATGTTTGTTGTGTGGACTCTTCCCTTTTAATTTGAGCAGTGGTTTCCAGCTTGTGGTTCATGGACCCTTCGGGTGTCACTGGACAACATCTAAGGAAGTGGTTTTGATATGTGAAAGCAGTTAAGGTATCCACAGACTGAAAAGCATTGAAAAGCTCTGCTCTAAAGTCTTGATCTTCTAAAATGCTTAAAAGTCTTGGTCTTCAAAAATGCTTAAAATACTTCTCTTCAGGGTAGTAATTAGAGGCTGTTATGGAGGCACTCAAATAAGGAAGTAGTTGATCAAATTCTGAGATAAATTACTACTTCCGCTTGTTGAAGCAACTTTATTGCAGTGTTTCTCTATGTTCATGGTGCTCGAATAGCATGGATTTCTTGAGGACGTGCTTAGAGTAAGGCAGAATTTACCAACAAAGCCCTGTCCCCCCTGCCAAAATGCACAGCAAGAACGGTCCCTTGATTTGTCATGTACAATAAACCTCGCTAAGTAAATTACAGTGCTATTAGCTAATCATTTTGAAAAAAAATCCTGTAAAATATCTACTAAATCAAACATTTTCACTTCTTCCATTCTTAAGGAATATATCACTATTATATAAATCTTTAGAGTTCTGCAGAATTCTGTGCAATGTTGCATTTCTGTGCTGTGAGTGATTTCCTTGGTGGTCACGTAAACAAAGAGCTTTCTTGTGAAGAGTTTTCAGTTTCTCTTCTGTTGAGTCCTACAGTCTCTAGTAAGAAAGACAATATTAACTCCCACCATGATGTCATTGCTTGCTGTTTCTGTGGGGTTTCTCTGCGCTTATTTTTTTTTCTGAAAATGTTCCTTTTCTCCCAGGATCTTGGCATTTTTTTCATCATCTTCTTACCCTGTATAATGAACTAGCTGTTGGGTCCATCCCAGGTCTTAATTCTCTGCTCACAAAATCTTTCTTGCAGCTGAAGAGGGCAAGCAGTGATGATATGCTCACAAAACCGGGGATGACAGCAGTTTCAGGAGTGTCTAGACTGAAGAAGACCATTACAACAGGCGCAATTTCTGAACTTGCTGAGAGTCGACTGAAGCCCAGCACAGGTAGATACAAAACTACTGGAAGGCGGTGTATTTTATATGACATTTGTTGCAAGTGACACTTGGTTTTACCAGAAATCGAGCTGAGTTTTGCATATTGCCTATATATTGTAGCATAGCAAACTTTGCTACTGTAGTACTGAGCGTATCAGAAGAGATGAACTGTGTTTTGCAGACTGACTTTGCAGTATGCTCTACACCTCACAAGTCTGGAATCTCCCCCCAGTCTTAAAAATAAGAAAAGGCAGATGCTTTCCCAAACTTGGTCTCAGAGGAAGTCTTGGCTGTTCTGTAATGACTTTCCAAAAAGTACATTAGTTGTCTTTTGAGAAAAGGGCAACGGAAAAAAATATTGGGAAAAAATGGAATAGCAGAAACATAATTCACCTGTTCTGTATGCCTTCGTTGTCTGAATTAAGACAACGCATGTAATGAATTCAATGAGTTCACTTTTGATCAGGAGGTCATTTTTGTTATTTAACAATGAAATAAGAATCTGTAAGTGCCACCAGTTTGTAGCAAGTTTGTGCTGAATTTTTGCATTAGGCAGAGTCTTCCTTGACTTCCCACAAAGCAGGGATTGGAAGTGACTTCTGCATCCTTAAATGCGAACTTGACTTCCTAGAAAGAACCTCCAGTCCCCGAGCCCCCACTCGGGTGTCCACGTGGGGATTTGTGGGACCCGATGGCCCGTGGATGGTCCGGGCCGCTCGCGCCTTGTCCCGGAGGGAGCGACGGGGACGCTCGCGGGTGCGCTGCAGACGCTTCTGTCTGCTCTCTGGTGGCATTTCTAAGGGAGTGCGAGATGGTAATAAATTTGACCGTGACCTCCGTATTTGTCCCATGACCTCCGTATCTGTCCCAGGCTTTGCAGGCTGCGGCTGTGTTTGAGCAAGGAACAGAGCTTTGTTACTAGCCGTGTTTTTTTTTTTTTTTTTTTTTTCTTTCTTTTTTTTAATCCTGCCCCCCAGCAGCTGAACAGTGCATATTGCAGTAGTATAAATGATTCATAGTAATGCAAATACACATAGATCCTGTTCTGCAGTTAGTCAGGGTTCAGACACTCAAATAGTGACTAGTTGCCTCCAAAGGCACTCAAGATTCATCGGTCAATAAGGAGCCATAATAGCCCTGGCAAAAGATGCTTGGGAGGGACAGTGCGAGAAGGAAACCTGTTCAGATGACGCAGCTCAGGATCCTGGGAATCAGCCAGGGAAACAGCTCTGCAGGGAGTCCACAATGGAATACGTATGTCAGATATAAAATAAAAGCACTGGAATAGAGAGCCCCCTTGTGCACACATGTATAATAACTGGGGGAGGGATAGGATTTATGATGATGACTACATTAAATACAAAGGGTAAAATGGTTTATGGAGGCCAAGTTACATTTGGATACTATTTTGCCAGCTTAAATTACATCATTAGAACTCATATATTGCTTTACATTAACATGTGTAAAAGTATGGATGATAATATTAATGCTGAGTAAAAAAATACAAGTGTGGGACTGAATATTGCATGGACAAACAGTAAGTAATTCCTTTCAGTCTAGAACTGGCCCAGATCTTATAGGTGCTATCCACAGATATACATATATTGCATACCTACATTTTCACAGTTGTTCCATGCACCATAATCTAGCTGGATTTGGAGAAGATTTGATACTACCACGGCCACTGAAAGGTGCTAGATAGTAGTGAGCAAGGTTACGAAGCTGAATGTTGCTTTTGGATGATTGTGCTGTGAACAAACACGAATAGACTTGTTATAATACAGTATATTGTTGCTTAGAAAAAAAATAAAAGTTGCATATGATGAAGGACAAGATGTTCCTGGGAACATGCAGTAGAGAGAACAGCGGGAACTGTGCCTTACTGAATGGCATCCCAGATAGTCTTGATCCCAGTCAGGGCCTAAGCTCCAACACTGACTGTGGAACTAAACTAACCAAGAACATTCCTGTAACTGGGAAATGCAGATGTTAGTGTCCACAGCCAGCTGGGTAGATCTTGAATTTTTGTTCTGAAACCAATTTCTGTGGCTTCTCCAGTCACCTTCATCAGTCCTGCCCTTTTCTTTCATGTTTTAACTGTTTTTTTCCTTTTTTTTTTTCCCCCTTTGTGCTTGTTAACATTGAGCTTTCTTTGTCTGTTATGCAGCTGAGTGATTTGATTATTTCAGTGAAAGGTTAGTATATTAGTTCCAGCTACACTGTAGTGGCAGTTACTTGGTCTCGTGTAAGAGAAATTAAAAGAAAATAGTTATAGGGACAAATAAAAGGCTTAGGTTGCTTTCTTCTTTGGGTGTAACTGTCCAACATTTGTGTGTTGACCTTGAATAATAAATAACGTGTTCCAAATGCTGCAGATAATAAATAATTGACACAAGCTTGCTTGTTTAAAGTAGGTTAGTTTCTGTGCTGCCCTTGGTGCAGTTTAAGCCATTCGTTCTTCCTTTTGCTGACATATGCTACCCTGTCTGCCTTGTTGGAAGCTAATGCTGTAAATCACAAGTAACTTAAAAGAGGCTGAGGCCAATCTCATGTCTCCCTTCTTGGCAAGAGGGATTGAGCAAATGGAACTGGAGATGGGTTTTGCCTGGGAGTTCAGGGCTGTGATGTTTGGCTTTGTTACTGCTTGGCAGTTTTGAAACCTCGAGTAATGGGAAATGACACGCAGAGAGAGCGGTCTTGGATTCGCCTTCCTGAGCCATGGTGTGCTTTCAGTGTTCTGTCCTGAAGCAGCAATTTGATTTTACATTAAAACTAAACTTTCAGAGCTATTGCATGGCTTTTAATGATCTAGTAGAAGGAAAAAAAAATTGAAAAATTGCAAAACAGGAGGAAGACAAGGAGGAGATTGTTAATCTAGTAAAATGTTTATTTTTTAAGGTGTGTACTTATGAAGCCATCCAATCCATGAAGCAAATAAGTAATTAAATTGTTTTACAGTGCTTAAATAGAGAAGTATCTATGTGAGTAACTTACAATCCCTTCTTCTCCTCAGATTTTGGACTTACAGCAGATCAGGGTTATTCAGATTGTGGCACACTGAGGTTTATAAAACAAATAACATTTAACCCTGCTATTTCACAGTCGGGGAACCTCAAAGCATACGTGATCACTTCCCTCTCCTGAAGAGCGTTGCGTGGTAGCGGCAGCGGGCAGACGGAAAGCTGAGGTTTAGAAAGGTGAAATTACTTGCTCAGCGAACCCTGGAGATCACACTAAATGCTGACTCTTAGGTCCCTGTCACTCCCTTCAAATTTCCAATTCAAGAATTTCTGAAAATTTCCCTCAAGGCTGTCTAGTTGAATCATACTTCCTAGCTGTTATTTTAGTGCCAGTAGCTATTAGCTGTCAGGTTTAACAACAACAAAAGTCATATGCTGTGTGTGCAGGACATAAGGAAAAAAAAGAGCTATGCCTAGCCTGGGCAGGGAGTACAGTCCAGAAAGTATTTGGAATACTTCAGGTATCCCCATTTCTGGCAAATACATTCATTCTATATCAAGCTCTTCCAGCTATAATATGAAGTATCAGTTATCCTTGACATGTAAGTAACAGATCGGTATGTGTGGTTTCTCAGGCTGCTTCATCAGCTGACTTGTTTTTTCAGAACTAAAGTCTGAACCTGAATAGAACCAATGAATCTGTCTTAGAAGCAGTATCTGGTTTTCAGCAGAGCTCTTTTTTTCTCTTTATCCTGAGTAGGAGATAGTGCATAACAATGATACATTTAAGTGCTTATCCCCACCACTACTGCTGAAAAACAGTTTGGTGTGATGGTATTTGTCACCATATTAAATGTTCAGGTTCTTCTAATCTCCACTCTTTCTTCCTGTAACTAAAGGACAGTTCTATGTTTTGGAATTGTGCAGAATGATACATTGCTTTGCATGGCTGTTCTTCAGGAATCTTTCTCCATTCTGATAAATGTTACCTCAGGAGGATATTTTAATCAGAAAAGCGCTGCTTCTAGTATTGCAAAAGGAGTTCACTAATCCTTTAATGAAAAAAGAGCCATGGTGTTATCATTGGTAAACTCTGATAACTGTTGGCTTGAAGTTTTGGGCCCTTGATTCCCTGAATCAAAGGAATCTGTTGATGGATGCTCTCTTTTTGTTCCGAAAATGGCATATAAAGCTTGCCCAACATCATGAACATTCTTTTGTCATCTTGTTGTTGTGTAAGATCTCCTAGATTGGGAATGGAGTGAGAACAGCACATTTTTGCTGTCTATGGAGACTTCCAATATTAGATTCTGTGCAGGATAACAATTCATTTGAGATGCAATTCCTTTAAGAGGCACTAATACACTCCACAGTCACCTTGCATTGCTAAGCAGGTAGGAATTGACTTCTACAGACTGCACTGTCTCCAGTATGTACCTTTCTTTTCTGTCTTCATCTACTGCACAATTCTCACTTCCGATATTGAATCTACATTGCAACATTCCAAGATATTGCATGCAACTTTTTGTTAAAACAATTTGTGAAATAAAGGAGCCCCTTTCCTTCTGGCGTACACTCCCCTGGGGAGGACTTTACCGGCCGTGTTTACCCCCGGGATGTGAGCCAGTTAAGAGGATTCAGTGTGTGGTGAGGATACAAAAATGCTAAATCTTAAAGCCCATAATGACTTAACTCCCTAAATTGCTGACAGTTAATTGGCTCAAGCTAACATGGGTAGGGAAGATCCATTACAGCTGTAAGCAAACTGTGAAGATCACAAAAGCTTTACCAGAGACACCTAGACAGAGAGGAGAACATGCTTGGCCTGCAGTACTAAGCATCTCTGATCTCTTGGTTTGTTTTTGTTTCTTTTCAGGCTCTAGTGAAGTAGTTCAGCAAAGTCAACACAACCTTATGACTACCTGCCTTAGGTTAATTATCAGCTTTCCTTCAGCTTGTTTGAAGAGAAATGATCCTTAACACTAATTCTCTAGGCCTAAAGTATCCGCCAAAGCACCTTGGCCGAGTGCCACTGTGTTTGCACGTGGA